TTTTTTTTTTTTTAGGTACAAACTCATAAAAAGCTTCTTCCTTTGCCAACAGGATACATCAAGAAGCTGCGATATTGTGAATACCTCGGCAGGTGATCACCGTGATGTTTCATCAGCCAAACATCCAACACATATTAAAGTAATACAGCTACCGTGACCTGATAATTAGCTCCTTTCATTTCCTTTCTCAGGTATTTCTGCGACTGCTGCCACAGCGGCTCCGAGGCTGTGATTCCTGGTCGAGTTCTGTCCTGCTGGGACTTTGGCAGGTAAGAAAATCATCAGGTTTACATCCACAGAGACGTAGAGCACAGTGGTACACCCACAGAACGAGGATTTCTGTTTGAATTTCTGACCAAAATGTCAATAAAATGACCAGGAAAGGCAACAAAAAATGACCAGAGAAAGGTGGAAACGAGCCACACAGAGACAGAAAAGACTAAAAAGAGGTTCAGAACTAAATATCAACGACTGAAAAATTAGCACTGAAAGATGCAGAACACCCAGAAAGAGATGCAAACAAACCACAAAGACATGAAACTTCTCACAGCGAGTGAAAAATAAACACAAATAGACACAAAATGACTGAAAGGACTCACTAAAGGACGACGCAGACAAACCACCACACCAAAAAGGAACCGCATAGAGACTGTATTTAAAAGATATTATATTCATATATTTGTATATTTTATTCACTTTTCAATAAATCTCAAAGAATCTCCTCGAACGTTGCAGCGTAGAAACAAACAAACGTGTTTTTTCATGTATTTTACGGTAACATTTCTGCAGTAGAGAGATTTTATCGTATTAAATTACAGATTAAAAAAATACAAAATATAATATATATACAGTAGCTTTCCATTATTTATAAGGTTATATTTCTATTATTTCATCTTCCATTATATTCCTGTGATTTAAAGGTGGCTACAATTCTGTAAGTGACACTTTTATTTTTTATTTTTTACATTATTTATTTATTTTTTTTAATTAAATTGCAATAATTACCTCAGAAAAGAGACTTTAAATGTCAATAAATATTAGCTGTTTACTTTTTTTGTTCTTTTTCTTGTTGAGAGAGAGCAAATTTTGTATTTTTTTAAATGTATTTTTTACTTTTATATTTCATTTTTAAAAACATCTTTATAAGTTACAGTATTCTGCCATTAATTTCTACATTTTTATTATTATTATTATTATTATTTAATCGTCTACAGTCTATGAGTCACACCAGAATAATGCATCTGCTGTAACTGACACCATCATCTGTAACATGTGTCTCACATTTAGGCGCTAACGTCATCAAAACAAACGTCTAAATTCTTCAACAGCTCATTTATGTTTCCACTAATGTCACACTCACATCCGTCCCCCCGCAAACAAGCACAGGTAGGAACCAAAGTCGCCGTCAGTCACCCGTAAACAAGCTGCTGAAATATAAAACAATACACTGAGAGATATAGAAAACACTCAGCTGTGCAAAGTCCAGATCAATCACAGGAAATATTAAAATCACCCAATGACCCAAATTAATGAAGCCAACTCAGCCGTAATCTCACTTCAACTGTCTCCATGCCTTTGTTTTTATATCATTTATAACATATTGCAGATGCTCTGTCAGCGATTTCTCCAAGCAGCTGCTGGATTCGGTTTGGAATCAGCCGCTGTTTGATCTGAACTGTGTCGGTAAAACGCTGTACGGCCGAGTGAAGGAGCTCGACAGGTTCAGGGTGAGTTCAAGGCTAACGTAATGTGTTCTGGGGACTTTTCCTTTAGAATAACCGTTCACACACACATAGAAGCACAAGGTCCACATGTGCAGCGACACAATCACTCACGTACGTTTAAATCCTGAAAAAAATGAAACGTTTGACGCTTCAGAGTGTTCGGATGGAAAACATCAGAAGAGTGAATGAATGTTAAACTACAGATTTACATTTGTTTATCAAACAATGAAGGTTTTTCCACACTGATAATAACTTTATTTACACGGAACCTTCCAAAAACAAACTACAACATTCACTTAGAACAACACAAAGCGAAAGAGACAAAACGTGATTCATTTAAGAGCTTTTTGACCAGTTTCTGGCCTGTTTTTTCACCTGGTTGAGACTGGTTTCAGACCAGTTAGGGTCTGATTTAAGATCTTATCTGACTGGTTTCAGACCCAGAATGGAAACGATGTCAAATATTTTTTGGCCTGTGTTTGACCTGCTTTTAGGCCGGTTTTAGACCTGATTTAAACCGGT